CTTTTAAAGCCAGGAATCTAAAAATATGATTAGGTAATTTTGACCAAATTTGACTTAATCCTCATTTCGATGTGATGGCTCACAGATTTAAACCACTTATACAAAATAAATTAAATGCTGCAGGCCATAGATTTTGTAACTTTTGGTGGCAAAGATTCAATTTCATGTTGTGGAGCAAAATGTTTAGTGAGACTCAGCTGTTAAAATGTTTGTTTTTGCCATTAATAGATTTTCTTTTTGCAATAAATTTTGCAGTGATGGATGGAGTTACTTTTTTGTTTATGGACAACTTTTCTCCTGACTTTTGTCAGCCAGGTTTCAGCGTACATCAAGGTGAACTTTATAGTAAAATGTGTCTTCTAGTTGGACCAGCACAAGTCAAGAATCCACTGGAAACTCAAAAACTCTGCAAAGATTGTGAGAGAAACTAATGTTAAATTTGAAATACTGTGTTATAAGCAGACTTCAGTCTTCTCTTCTTCACTGACATCACAAACATTGTAAATGACACGTTTCACTGATTTTCACACTTCCTAACCCTGAAAAATATATTTACAGCTGAATGAGTCTTTTGTTTAAGAGTAATGTGTGCAGTTTTTCTTATAGATTTGTCTCCACACACACACACCTTGCCCAAGGAGCCAGTAGTGCCTGGCAGAGACGTCTCTACATCTTCGTGTGTGGAGTGAGCCCTACTCTTTGTGAAGAGGTTGCGCAATAACTAACCCTCATGCAGCTACAGTACATGTATGATGCATGACATCCTGCGTGTGCTGAAAGTAGGTGCGGCTCACATTCATGTCATTCCATATCACTTCTCATTATCCTCGAAAAAGATTAAACTGAAAGTCAACAATCAAACGTGGGGTCATCAATCCATAACTACAAAGTATTTCATATGAAGCAAAGACCTACAACTACACAAAGGAATGAGTTTAGTCACACCTATTCTGGGAATGATTTGCTTTGTTTTCGACAGCCCAAAGGTTAAATCGATAACTTTAAACTCAAACTGAGGCTCAGATTGATGATCCATGAATAACTGAAGACCAATCCTTCAGCAGGACCCTGCACAGTCTTCGATTAACATTTCTTTTTTTTCCCTCTAGCAAAAGTCCAGAATGTATATACAGCGGGTAAAATAAGTATTGAACACGTCACCATTTTTCTCAGTAAATATATYACTAGAGGTGCTAATGACATGAAATTTTCACCAGATGTTGGTAACAACCCAAGTGATCCATACATACAAAGA